CACACCTAGAGGCAAAGCACAGCCCATGTCAGGGGAACGTGGAGACAGAGGAGGGAAAACAAGGGAGGGGAGGCAATGAGGCCTCCCCACTGAAAGGCTGAGAGATTCTGGTGTACAAAATACATCATTAGATTCTGGAAGAGTATATTTAGCTTGGCCCAGCCTGAGTACTATTCTAATACATGCTGCTTCTTGAGGGTATCCAATACAAATTGTTCTCTAGTTGGATGAAAAGAGTTTTGATGTTTTCCTTTGATGCCTCAAAATAAATTTAAGCAAATTGGCATCATAGCCTCTCCCTAGCAGTTTAGAAAAGTGGAAAATGAAAAATCTAAGGCTGGCCAAAATGAGGCAATTTTTTTTTTGGTTAGACAACTTTTCCAAATAAACATAAATGTTATACACATATGCATAATATACCTATATATATATATATACACACACATATATATATATATATATACATATATACACATATGCATAATCATAGACAGTAGTTTAATTCAAAGAGATGAAATTATATGAAATCTGGATTTAAGGGATTAACTCTTGAATTCAACTTGGAAAATGTTGAGTAGAGAAAACTGTGTTTATGACTTTTGCAATCTTTGGCATGTTTGCTTTTCCTAAGTAACTATTGCTTTCTGATTTTCAAGTGTGAACTGTAAAAATTTTTATATAATTGTGTGGAACAAGTCAGAAACAAAAGGTGGAACAAATGTAGAGGTGAGCATTGCATTTAGCTTGACTGACTTTTTTAACTGAGAGGACCAAGAGAAAATGAAACAAAAATCAATGTCTCTGCATGGCACCTTACACAGCAGCAGACAAATTACCTCCTACATTTGCAAGATCATGCTCTTAATGGATTGTGTTTCAAGGGTCTGACAGAGCTATATTGGGCTTTATACCTTTTGGGAATAATCTTAAGACAACCAACAACTCCAGCAATCTCATTCTTGGTATCCTGCTTTGGTGTATGAGCCAGATGAAAAGTGTTCTCTTAAAAGAAAATCTGCAACAAATATTCAACCAACCAACCCAACCCAACCCCGTGTTCCCAAATTCAGAAGAAATGCCTCAGATCAGTGTTTTTGCAGCCTCTGAATGATACCATTATTTTCCCAGACTGAGAAAATAAGACACTGGTTTACTATCTAAAGAAGATAAAAATATGCTGGGTTTCCCAAGCTTAGAATTGCCATATGTATACCCTGTTTTTCTTGGGTACACTTGTGTAGTTTAAACCACTGGAGAAGATTCCTCTTGACTTCACTTCTCACTGTGTAAATGTCTCCCAAAAGTTTTTCTTACGTACTTTTTAAAAAACCCCTCAAAATCCAGGTTTCAAAGAGTTTAACTGTAGTGAAGCTTTAGCAGGAACATCTCAAAGAACAGCTCCATTATCCACTGCCCATGTTTCTCTTAGGTCATGACAAAAGCAAGGTTAATGCAGCTTAGCCTGCAAGGAAGAGGGCTCTAGTGACTCAGGTTATGCATGATTGCTTACTGAGCTGGGATAACTTGATTAGGAGTCCAAGCACCAAGCACTTGCCATGAAATTCACCCTTCCACAGAGCTCACTTTCAAATAAAATCACTTGTAGACAGAATTAAGTATGGACTCAAACCTGAATGTTTTAACTGCACAAGTGTTTACCTTAACAAACCTGCTTCAGTTTGGGCCTACGTATTTCAGGTTTTTAGATTTTATCTGAACTCTGTTTGCTAGAGTTAAACTGAAAGGAAAAGTCTGCAGGCATTTCCTAAGAATGATTTACTTGGATTTGTTCTTCTGCTGTGTGAGGTGATGTGAGCTCCAATAGTTTATATGGTGATGTCTATAAAGAAAAGCACATAGAAATAGTCAAATGAAAGAAAGGAAATTTCAAAGAGTTGGTTTTGGAGTGTTTTTTTTTCTTTTATTACTTTTTTTTTTTTACTCTGAAGATGAAAATTATCCCATATGGATTATTACTCACATCTTCCCCCACTAGAAAGCAGATCCTTGTGGAGAGAAAATTGGCTTCAAAACCTGAAGTATGAAATTCAACTTTTATACATATTTCAGATTCAGTTTTTGCATATCCTTGTAGCAGAAATAGTCACTTGACTGAATTTCTCCTCAAAAAGTAGAGCTGTAGCAACTCAAACTCATCCATTGCAAATGACAACTTTCTGTAAAAAGCCTCACCAGTTTCAACAATTCTTATAAACTGTTATTACTACCACTAGCCAGTTTTAATAATTTTCTTCATCCTGTTGTCTGCATTTTTATTTCTAAAGCCCTGTATAAGCATATGAAAGAATGAAGTGTGGAATCTGATTTGAGAATCAAAATATAAATAATTCTTAAAAAAATATACAGTTTCAGGGACAGTTTTATTCCCATAATTCCCAACCACCCAACTGCAGAGTTGACAATGACTTGAGTCATCCAGACACTGAACTGAACTGTACTGGGACATACAAAACCCCAGGGAATTGAAACACATGCATGTGTGGAGATTCAGATTTACCCAGAACAAAACCCACATCATTTTAAATTTTATTCCAAAGGTTTATTTTTCAGTCACTGTGCATGGACATAGTTGATCACACAGACTTGTGATACCCATACAACCACCTCACAGTACCTCACCACAATGGCAGACAGGAAAAGGGAATGTGGCACCACAAAACACTGGCTGACAAGCACACAGGCTCTAGACAATTTAATACATTAAACAAGAAAAAATAAATGATAAATTGCTGATATTCTCCATGTTGTCCTCTCATTGCTGGAGAAATTATAATAGCGTAAAAATGGAAAAAAAAACTCTACAGAACTCCAAGAACACAAACCTCTCATTAGGGTTACAACCAGAAAGTTAATGAAGTACTGGCACATCTGAAACTTCCACAGCCCAAGCAGAGGACACTTTCTTGGCCAGTGAAAAAAAGCACTAGCCTGGCCTGGAATTGCTTTGACCATGGATGGCAAGAAAAATCTGGTGAGATGTGGAACTCCAGCCCCACACCATACTCAGTCCATAGCAGCTCTCTGCAGCCACACAGAGTGTGTGTCCATCTCAGGTAGGACAAGAGGAGGGAAAAAGGGATTACAGAAATGAAAACATGACCCCTTGCTGCTCATGCTGTACAAGGCCCCTGAGCTGTGATAGGAAATTCTATCAAGACATCTCTACCTATGCATTCTGAGCCGGTCTCCAAATGCAACTGTAGGCAAATATAAGATGATTTTATTTTGTTGCAGGAGTCCTGATTTCTGATACAGCTGCTGTATCAGGTCAGCAGGATATTTAATTGAAGTTATCCAATGGCGACATTTTCAACAGTGTCTATAATGTACATTAATTAACAACAGTAAGTGCTAAATTCTTCTCATTCTAATGGTATTGGTTTCCAATCTTGTCACCTTGGCTCAAATCAGATCTCATCATACCATGTTAGTAGCCCTAAATACAAAGTAGTAAAGTAATTATTAAGTAATTTCCAGTCTGAAGGAGAGGGTCAAAATTTGCCAGTCTCACCCTGCAGGCAAAAAAGGAAGAAATTTTCATAAAATTTTCTAGGCTGACATTTGCACTCAATGTTTACATAGCCATTCACTTAGCAAGCCTCATGTAACCCTTGGAATAGTGAACTAAAGGCACTGAAAGGTAATATTTTCATTTGCTGTATAATTTACAAGTGGTTATGAAAATAATATTTTTCTTCAGTTTTCCCCACACTATTTGATTAGGTTCCATTTATGACTGTCAGTTGGTATAATCCTGCTTCGCTGTCTTTCTTAATAGTAGCACCAAACTCATACATTTTTAATTTTTTGTTCTTTATTCTCCTTCTCATATATATTTCATTTTCTTACTGTTGTACCTCTATCCCAGTAAAAAAAACACCAACCATAAAGTCTGGCATAAAAGCAGTGATCAATTTTTTGTCAATTACCTAGTAATGAAATTGCCCTATTTAGGTCACTTTACAATGTCTGTGGTAAATATGCCCCATACAAATAAATCACAGTATAAAACTATATACACAAATTAGTAGTAACAGCTGAATATTAGGATCTCTGATTTTAATTTACAGAATAATTTACAGTGTAGAACAAAAAAAAACCAAACAAAACAGCTTACCTCTTGTAGAAATATAAACCAACACTCGCCCCCGCTCCCTGCAGATACTGGAAGATAATTATCCATTGTATGTGTATATATATGACTATAAATCACAGAATCATAGAATAGCTGAGGTTGGAAGGCACCTTAAAGATCATCTTGTTCCAATACCCCACCATAGGCAAGGACACCTTCCACTATACCAGGTTTCTCAAAGCCCCATACAATCTGGACTTGAACAGTTCCAGGGATGGGGCAGCCACAGCTTCTCTGGGCAACCTCTTCCAGTGTCTCATCACCCTCACAGTAAAGAATTTCTTCCTAATATCTAATCTCTATCCTCTTTCACCTTGAAGCCACTAATATTAAGCCATTGAATATTAATATATATCTATACTTGGAATGTATATTCATGTAAGAACACATATATGTGCAAATTTTCTCGCAAAAATGCTCCAAATGCATGAATTTCTAGATTAGTAAATATAACTTATTGACTCTACCTATATGCTGCACTTTCTTCTTCTGTCTTAGTCCTGAGTGCAGCTCAAAGACTTACTGACTTTTCAAATAAAACAGCCATTTAATTTTAAAATTCTTATTATTACTCAACATCCAGGTACCTTGAGGGATCAAGAGAAACTGTTATCAAAATTACAAACTGTAAAGATGACGTTCATTAAGAAAAAAAAGTCCCATTAATTGTTCACTGAACCACTGAGAGCCTGCTGAGTCTTTCTCTTATGAAATCAAGCAATTTTACAAAGCTTTAGACAGCTTAATGTGAACTAGGCCTGATGCTTCAGAATCTAATGCCCAAGTAAAAATTAGTGTTTAATGAAGAAATAGATCCCTGTGTAGGAATTTGGGTGCCTGAGTGTTAAGAAGTTATCAGGTCTCAGGGAAATCTGGGCTCCTAAGACTTGTTTTAAAAGGAATTTGAAAAGAAAAGGAATAAGCAAAGAAAACAATTAAAAACCCCAGCCCTTGGAACACTTCATGTTTGAATTTTTGTTTCAATAATACTATGCCCTACACATACCATCAGTTTTCTCACTTCACCATGAGGTTTAGTTTTCTTTTCATATTAAAGCCTCTAAGTTTGTTCTTAAAAAATAAAATTATGTAAATACTTATCTTCAGAGAAATGCAGTGGCAGCAAACCCAGAAACTAGAGACAGCTTATTGCTAATGAATCAGGATTTGCAAGTGAGACAAGGAAACTCATCAGGACCCAGAGCTACCCATTTGTGGGAAGGTAGAAGATGTTCAAACAATGCAACTGATAGTCAAAATAGCTAGAAAATGAATGAGAGGGCAGGGAATGTCATGTCAGTTCACATGGGCAGCTTGAATGACATCTTGGAAAATGTGGGGAAATGCGTTCTGGTGCCATTTCAGGTTTGCTTCTCAGCAGACCCCCACTGGGATCTCTTCCCTTGTCCCTGCCTCCTCCTCCTCTTGGAGAGAGTGCACTCACCTTCCTGTGAGCACATAGGGGTGCTCAGCCAGCTGCTGCTCAAAACCCTGGCTCCCAGTGCCACTTCACAGCTCCAAGTCTGTATTCCCCATCCCACTCGCCACAGCACTTGCTTCACAGGTGCCAAGGAAACCCCATCTCATTTACTTTATCAGTCGCTGCTCCTCCCACCCCTCACTGTCTCAGCCATTACCCCAGCTGCTAATGAGTTCACCCATACTCACTTTGAACATTTTCGGGGGGAAGCAGTTCATGAGATCATAAAATATACAAGTTGTGTACCACTATAAATGCAAAGAGCATGCTTTCCCCCATCCCCTGAAAGAGCATCTTGGGTTTACACGATCCCTTTTTTGGTTTCCCCATTGTCCACTGAAGATGTGAAGTTTGATTCGTGTTCTTCACTTGATTTCCTCTCCCCTGGGTAGTGGTTCATCTCTTGCATTTCTAAAGTTACTTTATTCCTTTTGGCAAATGCTTGGCTGATCTGCTGAAATGTCTTATTTTTTGTTTCAGGCAGGACAAAAAACAGGTAGGTCGCTCCTGCAAAGCAGATGCTGGCACTCATTGCTAGTTGGAGTACTGAGAAGTTCATAAAAATGCATGAAATTTTGGTTCTTCCAACACTGCCTGTGGCCTGTCGACAGCAAAGCAGGTTCCTGGCACAGGAGAGCTGCAATCTGGGTGGTGCTGGGAGACACAGACCGAGCTGAGGCAGCACAGGGAGAGCAGGGGAGAGCAGGTGGCAACAGGAATCCTGCACTGTGCTCAGCTGAGCCTGGCACCACCCAGGGCATTCGGGAAATGAGGCAGATGTTCCCCTGGGTTGTTCTGCACACTGCCTCCCAGCTCCTAGGTACAGAAACTGAGGCATGCTTTAAAAGTGCTGTGCACCTCTACAAAACCCATGGAAAAACTGCTATGTTCATCATAGCAGTTACAGGTGCTGAGATTTACAAAATAAATGAGGAAAAACCCCAAATAGCGCACATTTGTTATCACCCTTATGGTTATGGGAGTTCACAGCAATAAAAATAATCCATAAAATGCATTTCTTTTCATGCTAGAAAGTGTAAGAGTTAGTTAAGGGAATGCAAAGTACAGACCATATTTGAATGTTATAGATTTTACTTCACTGCAAAAATGAAGAGAACAGATGTAAAGAAGTTAATTTATAATTTGATTATAAAGGCTCAAACCAGCCAGTAGAAGTTGTACCTCACTGAAACCTAAGTATTTCTTGCCTGGTGATTATTAGATCATTTAGCAGCTACCAGTTACCTTTCAACAGTACAGTTGTGAAAAATCATTTGATAAATACCAGATTGACAATTGAGCTTTGTTGAACTTGGAAGAGGTTTGATATTATGGCTCCAGGGAAGCCACTTGCAACATGTAAGAGATGCTTTCAGGGTGCTGGACAGTCTGGGACACGGCAGAGACCTCTATAATTGAGTTAGATGTTAGTAGTTTATTTCAGGGCGTGGGAGAGAGAGAGAGAGCCCTGCTATGAGCCAGCAGATGAAGCTCAAAGCAGGCTCAGAGGGAACAATACAAAAGGGGGTAAAATATGAATTCATGAGTTCAAGACTTAAGATTGCTAAGAAAGAGAGTAACAGGACAGAAGTGAGAGAGCCAGGAAAAGAGAGAGGCCAAGCTCTCCTTTACAATTGCTTATATAATCTATATATATGAATATTCTGTTCTTTCACTAACCAACCTTTGTAAGTATATTTATACAGTAACATTTGTGTGTGACCTATAGAAATCGCTGCTTTTGCATATTTTTAGTTATCTCAGGGGTACTTTGGACTTTTCCTTATAAGGCAGGGGAGAGGGGTCTCAGCTAAGTTTTACTGGGGGAAAGAATGTGTTCTGGCATACCAGACAGGTTTCTTTGAATTATTTAACCTGTGCTTTCATTTGTATTTCTTCCTTAGCCTTTCTGGCTAAAGAGTCATATTTATAATTTCTTTCTAATTCTACCTTCCCAACATAACATTTGAGGAAACCTCCCTTCCTCCTCTATTGATTTACACTCTCAAACATCCAATGTACCCATATTTTTCTAATTGCTGTTATTAACAAGGCTGAAATAACCAGAAAGAGTGACTCCAATTCCAAAAATAAGGTGGCCTTTCTGTGGTGCCTTGCCTGAGGTCATGAACAGTAAACCCAAGGAGAGCTGGACTGCTCACACATCACCTCAGGTGCTGCAAGGCTGAGGTTACCCCAGAGAAAACCACTCAGGGCAGAGGAAGCAGACCTGCCTTCCTAAACGTACACATTTACAGATACCATTAAAGGTATGTAGCTGAAACAAGTAAGACAGAGACAGGAAACCTTCATTTTGCACATTTTTGCAAGAGGCTCTCATCATCGTTAGTCACACCAGTCCTACGCTGCAGGCTGGTCTAACTCCCTGCTTTGGATGCTCCAGGTGTATGCAATTCCTAGCACTATTTTTGTTTGACTTGCTCATTATGCGTGGTGTACGAGAAGAACATTAATTCCTGGGTGGAACAAGAAAGAAGAAATGGAAAAAAACCTTTCTTGCAGCTGCTTTTTAATACCGTGGCTGATTTCCAGCCTGCCTAGCCACAATGTTCTCTGTTTCTGTGGATAATTCATTACCTAGTTCAAATCCTGCCTGTAATAGGAAAAGCTAGCAAGTGCATCCTCTGATATTGTCTATGGACTCTAGAGATCATCAGTGTTTTTTCATTAAATCCTAGAAGCATGAAGTCCTGAGCAAGCTGACAATCACAAGCCAAACAGCATGGGTAACGTGAGGGGGAAATATTCTGGCAAATAGAACTTTCAGGCTTATACAGAGGCAGAAGCAAAAGGATATTGTAGACAGGAGAAAATAATTTTGCAGTGCCTCATAAATCATCCTGTCATGCTAAGAATTTAAATTTTACATCTGGATCTTCTGCATTTGTAATTGTTGTTCATCTGAATGACAGAGTTTCAAACCAGAATCATGTTTTTCACTTTGTAAAATTTCAGTGAATTAAATATTCTCCATGATAAAAATGAACCATTAATCCCTTGTATGAATACACACGGCAACCAAAGGCAGTAAATTACCTGTGTCTCTTGGTGGTGCAGTGACAACTTTGTCTTACTTTTCTAACTCTTTATTTCTTTGCTGCCCATGAGCTAAATAAATTAGTCCTTATTATCTTTGATTCATATCTCTGTAAACCTCTTCGAATTGAACTAAACACTCATGAGTGTGTTTTATTTGCAATTATTTTACCTAATGTATTTATATTTATTTGTAATAATCATATTCTTCCTAATTTCTGCAATCCCTTAAGAAGTAGCCCTCAAGGATCTCCAGCTGAAGTTTCACAGAGAATAAGTTAAAAATTAAATTTTGCTCTAAATCCTACAAGTGGATTTTGTTGGGTTTATACAAGGCTGCACTGGTGTCCTGCAGGATTTGTCCAACAGGCCCATAATTCCAGACAGAAAACACTGCAGGGTAACCACAAAAAGCCCCTTTGTCTCCAGCCATTCTTCAGTTATACTATTTCCTTGAATCTGGTTATTATTTTACACCCACAGCAAAGAAAACCACTCATTCATAAACCTTTTATAACTCATTCAGAGTTCAATTTATATCACCCAAACCTGCATTTGGCACAGAACATCACATACTAATTAAATTACTCATTATAAGCATGGAACCTTCTATACACACTGCACACTGATAAAGCTTGTAGGACAGAAATACAGGATAATACAGGATATTCTAGGGCAGATACAGCAAAATTAATGAGCAAGAAGAAGAAAATGTTAAATCACAAATCTCAACTCAGTAAAACCTTTAATGGGACATAGGAGGGACAGAGCTCAGCCTAGATGTTTAATTCATTTTTATCTGTTTCTGAACTATTTTGAATTGCCTGGTGCTGGAAGAAAGATCTGAGAGGTGGAACAAGCAATAGATTGGCCCAAAAATATCTGATGTGCCCATCAGGGAACCTAGAAGGTGAGATAATGTGGTAAAAAAACAGTAAATGCTGAGCTGTTGAACAACGGCTACTACAGAGAAGGTACTGTAGATCTGACAAGAAACAGAGTCTCTGTTCCATGAGGTTATTGTACTTTCTTTTATTTATATTGGATATTATTTATATTCTGTCCATGAAAGTTGTATACCTCACTTACTACCTGTAGTCACCATAGTCTCCCAGCTAACCCTCCTAACTAACTCTGTTGTTTTATACCTTCCAGTGAGCTAGTTATGAGCCTGCTGATGCTACTGTAGAGGTAAAACCACAGAATATTGCTTATCCTGGGCTGGGGTGAGAGTAAAAAGCTGAGGAAGAACTCAATTTAAAATCCTTGGTGGCAAAGCACAGATTCTCTGCAGCTGTGGGTATTTGGGCTTACGGACATGGATGGCTTCAAGATTCTTCACTGACACATGCATTGTCAATGATACAAGAATAATGACAACATATATGATAAAATTGAAAAGGTTTATCCTTTTTCTATGCTTTGTGACAGTATTTCACCTAGTACATGGAGTAGAAGCCTCAGTGTTCAAAAAATTGAATACTCGTATTCACCAGAAGAGTAGCTAAACTCCTTATCAAAACATAGCACCCCTGAACAGCTAGAAGGGGTAATTCAAGGAGGAAGGGAACGTCAGAGGAAGAAGTAAAAGCAGATTAATTCTGAATGGAAGCTCTAAGCAAATAGAGAAAAAAATAGAGAAAAAAAAATGAGTAAAGTGTATGATTTCTGCAGTTCTGCATTTCCTCACATAAGGACAGGTTACTGCCTCACAGTCTGCTCCAAGCAGCAGCAGCAGCAGCAGCAGCAGCAGCAGCAGCAGCAGCAGCAGCAGCCCTGGTGGTGCAGGAAGCACCAAGGCAGCTCTGTCCATATCCCACTGACACATCCACTCACGCTGGTCTCTTCACACTGCCTGCACAGACTGTTCAGGTTCAGAACACGCTGCCACCTTCACAAAGGTGCTTCTCCTCCCCCAGCACCAGGCAGCCTTGCCAGAGCTGGGAATGTCTCCTTAGCAATACCTGAATCCAGGCTTTTGCGTGCAGGGTTGGAAACCCAAAGGTCAGAAGGAATTCAGAACAAAGCTCTACAAGAGCCCCTGTTTTGCAGCTGTGTTCCCTTGGCACTTCCCTAAGCATAACCTCCTGCAGGAGCAGCCAAGGCTCAAAGGTGGGCAGGGTTTAGGTGGTTTCCCAAAGAGCAGCAGCACTGTCTCCTGACAGATATCCATCCAGAGCCAAGGGCACACACCCAGGTGAGGGTCCTGGAGGGGCCAGGCTGGCTGGGGTTACTGAGGGTCACCTGCCCTATCAGGTCTAGGGGGGAGGGCAAAAGGACAGCAGACACACTTATTGATGCAATCTCCTGAGGGAAGCACCTACTAAGTCAGCAGGCTAATAAAACCTCTTCAAAGCAGGATTTACATTGGATTTTTCAAGGCTGGTGAGGGCTATTGCTATACAGGATATTTAATAGTTAAGCTTTAACTTTTAAATGCATCACCTTCTATTTTAATACCAGCTTTGTAAGGAGGCCATTTGAAAAACAACATTTCTGGAAATTCTGGCCAGCTGAATCCTGAATTACTCATTTTTGTCTTTTTTCTGCAGATGATCAAGGCTTTCTATTTGTGGAAAAACAAAAAAGAAAACTAAGAAGTGATTTACCTACAACACACATGCAATTACCACAAAAAAGAATCAAAGTTGAAGTACTCAGACAATTCCTCCAGATCAGATCCCAGGCATGGCAAGCAATCAGTCCTGACTTTGAGGATAAGATAGAGCTGCATATGCGAGGTGTATGAATAAATGGGTGCAGCTTTGCCACTTTTTCGTTAGCAAAGAGGTGAATAAACATACCCCCAGCTTGTGAGGGGCTGCTATACACATCAGAGAGAATGCACAGGCATTTCCCCCACCTCCCTTTAAATACAATAGTAAAGAATACTTCATTTTTAGCATTATGAACTGACTTTATGTGCCCAACATGAATGAGCAAAAGAACTCATTTTTTTTAAAGCTTAAAAGTAAACTGAAACAAATAAAACACCTAACATTGAAATGATCAGAATTCTGGTTTTAATTACAAAACCTGCACAATTTGCTACTTTTAGAAGTAATCTAGCTGAGAACAGTCTTCCTGTTAATAGATTGCATGCTGTGAACACCATACTCTGGAGGAATCTAAAAGTAGTTGAGAGGATCATTACATGCTATTTAACAATAGTTGCTTGCTGACTTAACACACTCTGTAGAAAAGGTTAAATTCTAAGCAGGACTGTGATACTGGAAACAGGAAAACATATATTCTAGGGCAGATACAGCAAAATTAATGAGCAAATGAACAAATTCTGAATCAATTTAACAAATGTAACACATTAATATTTTTAAATCAAAACTTTTGTCTCTTTCCAGCAAATGCCAAACCTGACTCTAAATTCTCAACTTGCAAAGTCGCATCCCTTGACACTAGCAATGGGTCCTTGCATTTGGAAGTTGCCATGAACATCAGTGTCACGACATGTGGGTCAAACTGGCATTTGAAGTGGTGAGGTCAAGTGATAATGGTTCGATGTCTTATAAAATTGATCAGCAGAAAAACTGTTATTCATGCAGACATTTGACTTCACTTTGCTTCAAATTGATAAAATGCAGTGAAACAAATGGATAAGGGCTTGTGTCCTTTACCCTTTGTCCTTCTTCTGTTCCAGACATAATTTAAGGTGCTGCTGAAAGTGCAGGACAATGAAGAAAGACAGAGTATTAAAGTGTAATGTATGAAACATAATTCCTAAGTAAAAAATAGAGACAGTTTTAGACATGAACTGCAATTTCAACCATGACCCTCACACACTCACTACTTCCTCATAAAAATATAACAGATCCTTTTAGTGTATCACTCAAGTGGGTTGATTCTAATTAAGATAAGCACATCTAACCCTCTGATAGTCCACATTTCATTTTCTCATCTTTAAAAGACGGGAACTTTAACCATTTCCCTTAATACAGGGACACTGTCATTGCTTGGAACATCCAATGCATTTGAAGAAGCTTAAAATAGCTTGGCTGAGGGAAACTATGCATAACTTTCTGTGCATACCTGTTAATGAAATCCCTGTGCTGAGTAATAGAAAAAGTGAAGGAATACTATTACACAGTAAGGAAATAATAAGGACAACCAAAAGACAATCTTGCAAGTAAATGAATCTTGAGGCATGAGAATGAAAATCTCTAGTGTAAAACTAAGGAAGAAATAAAGTAGAAATAAAAGAGAACCTCCAGGAAACAGTATAATGACTCAGAAGTACTTCTTCACAGGCCCAAATAAATTAGTTTCTAAAAAGAGAAAAATGAACACACATACAAGTCTTGGCATTGTACTAGTAAGCAATCTGAACTAAAGCTTCAAGGCTTGTAGCACCTTTATTCCATATAATACTGAGCTCCTTCTGGATCACAGATCTAAGCAGATTATTTTGGTCAAACCCCAGTTAAAAGTAAAATCAGTTATCTATATAGCAGTTCTCTAAACATAACAGGATATTCCACTGCATTCCCCAGTTATTGGAACCTTTTGTATTAGGAGGAAGGTCTGAAGATGAGCTGTTCTTGAAAATTAAAAATATAAAATACAAAGTAATTTAAATATTTCTTGAATATATACTCTATATACAATGTGACTGACATCTAAAAAAGACTCTGAACAGTCTTCTAGAAAGAGATATTATTATGACAGAAAACTTCTGGAGAAATCTGCTGTTTTCCTACAGTATATTACTAATTTACCATGTAGTCTTTAAGTGCCTCATAGCAATCTTGAAATATGAAATAATGAAATATGAAATAAAGATGCATCAACATATAATGAAAATAGCATGTTGGGAAATTATTTGGTAATTATTGATGTTTAGTAATTATTTGTATTTATGCAGCACATTACAAAAAGTAAACAGAAACTTTTTCTAGATAACATGTAATTTAAAGTCCTGTGACACTGCTTCAGTTCATTGCACACATTCCCATGTATTTTTACATTCTAATTTCTGTTTTCCTGTGTCCCTGCTCACATTTCAGCACCTCAAATAGGTAGTTATGGAGCCTGGAAAAGAAGCTGCATTCAAATTTTTTTTTTTAATTTGTCAAAAATTGATTTTTATACTAGCTTTTCAATCTCACATATATATTTTAATGTATGACTCAAGCCACTCTTTGATTATATTTATCTACAGATGGTTGAAGGGCAAAAATCTAGTCATTCAAATTAGTTAATTGGTGACATTTGGAAAACTAACTACTGGTTGATTTTTTAGTAACTCTAAACTTACCAGATTTGTTTCCCAAATGTTTGAGATAATTTTGTAGAAGTACACCAAGGAGCAAAAAAATGTGGCTGCTGTTTCTCAAGCAATCAGGTTAGTATTTAAATACACAGACAGGATTATGCATTCATCCTGTGAAGGCAACTTAAAGATTTTTTTCCCTGGTTGAGGTTTATAAAATGAACTAGGAAGAAGATATTGCCTTTATGTGAAGAAAGTGGTGACTCATAAACTGAATTTTGAGAATAAGGTTGACTGAAATAGGAAAAAAGTTAAAGCTTGGGGAAAAGGAGATGTTCTAGTTTGATCTTGGAAACGCTTTAAAAATCAAAGTCTGAGTAACACTGCTTTCATCTTTAGGTGAAAATTCTAAGCTTTTTCTCTTTTTTATTTCTCTTTTCTTTAAAAAAAGAAAAAATCCCAAAAAATCTTCAAGCTCAAAATACAATTTATCTTCATTAAAACTAAACTGGATAATTTTGTAATCACACAACTGGATATTTTTATGACACATAATGATAAATTCCCCAGGGCTACAGCAAACTTCATATGGGCGCATACTAAATCACTCAAAAAGCTTTAATATGCATGTGGAAAATTAGAGAATGTAGTTTGCCTTTTAATTTGAATTTACTGAAGGTCTTTTTAAACAGTTTTTACTAGGTGATCTCTTGGGTAGCAATAGCACACCAAGTAGGGAGTGTCCTGAGTTGCATGAATTCAAATCTGACAACTAAGCAGAGCTCAGGTTAATCTCCAGTTTTGTGCAGAAGGAGGCAGAAACTGCAGTTTTGGAGAATGTGATTGTTCTCTAAATGTCTCTGGATAATTAAAAAAAAAACAACAAAAAATAACACCTCCCTCCCCCCCAAAAAACAACCCCAAAAAAAGGTATTCTGATTAAATGCCCCTAGATTTGAGATCTTATTCTCTGTCTCTGCCCAGCTGCCAAGGAGGTAGGTGATGGAAGCAGAGCTAGCTGGCCAGTTGGGCTGGAAGGGAGGGTCTAATGCTACTAAAAGTCACTCATCTTCTGGAAGAAAAAGCTATTAAACTACACAGGAGCATCCATTTGCTGGATGAGCTGGGGCTGCCCCATGGACTAGGTCAGGTTTTCAAAACCTCAAGGGAATTGTCTAATTCTTTCTATCATTTTGTAGATGTCCTAACAACCTCAGGAAAAGGAATTATTTCTCTACCTCCATTTGGAAATCTCACCTGAGAGTATCTAAGCTGGAAAGGTGTTCACCATGAAACTGGTGGATAACACTCATCAATTTCAGTAAGCATGAAAAGCTCTCAGGATATAGCAGTGTAATTGCAGTTAACATTAGTAAATGTATAGAGTTTGGGAAGATCACAGACTTTATATTCATGTTAAATTTTGAAGGTGATCCAAGTAATCAAAACTACAAGAGATGTAGTTGTGATACCCACATGTCTCCTTGCTGGAGCGTGTTGGAAAAAAGCTGTCCTTCAGTGGAAAAAAAGAAGAAGAAGAAATTAGAAGTTGTTAGAAGAAATTTTAAATTTAGTGTCAAACTTAGATCATGGGTGGGATGTTATAAGGCTTTCAAGTTCTCCCATAAAGTACCTCATACAGATAATTTAAAACAGTACATAGTACTACATAGTAAAAGCAGTTCTATTTGTCAAATGAAAAAGAAACATATAAGTTTTTAGAGTATGATTTTTTTACTGTATCTGCAAATAGTTAGGCATGTGGTATTGCAGAATCAAATTCTTTTCAGTTGGAAGAAAGCACACAGAGCACAGCTCTCATCAAATCTCTTCCTTGGCAATGATTTGAAGGCCATTCCAGAATCTCTCTCCTGGGTGTGAGGTGCAGGTATCCATGAGGGTTTGCTCTCCCTGCACCTCTCCTCTGCCCCTATTATTTTCCTCTATGTGTTTAAAAAACTCAAAACCTAGAACTTCTTTTTTTTGGCCTGTAGTAGTGAGCTTCACTTTTAAACTGTTATTCATGGAGCAGGATGTCTCTTTTAAGAGTTTGGATATGTCCATTCAGGCCATCATCAGCTGTATTTCAGCTCCTGAGATAAAGCACCAGCTTCAGTGTGAGCTGCAGAGAGTACAATCCTTGGGAGAGGTTCATGAGCAAGAAAAGAACCTCAGCTTGTTTTCTAATTAGAAGCTGCTTGAAGCCTTTTTGTTTCAAGCAAAAAAACCCTGACATATCAATAGTGTTGAAGTATTCTTAGGAATCAGAGCAGGAGAATGTTGTTCTGTGTTGAACTTTTAATTTTCTTTTTACAATTTTTTTTTTTTTTGAAAATAAACTTACCTTGTTAAAGTACAGCCCCAGTTCTCAGACAGCTCCATGTGACTAGTGCAGCCAAGCAATCCACTAAAAACAAAGCTTATGGGAGCCTGGGGAAGCTGGGGCAGGAACAGATTAATCCATGCAGCAATTAAGCTGCAGCAAGAAGGAACCAGCTAAAGAAGATAAAAGCCTGATAGAAGTTGAAAAAAAGAGCCATGAAGCCAAGCTTGTGATGGGAGGTGCAGAGAGCATCTATTTTTCCATGAGACTTATATGGATTCTCAAAGCACAGGGTGATGGGGTGACCTCAAACCATGATGATGGGTATTCTAAAGGCTGAAGAAAGAGGCAGTGCCAATCACAATCAGTGACTGTGAACCCAGGCAAGATCATCAGATGGCACAGCTTAAACACTCCTGTGGGGAACTTGCCACGGAGGGTTGTCCATTGTTATAATATTTTTTTCCACTGAAGGACAGCTTTTTTCCAACACGCTCCAGCAAGGAGACATGTGGGTATCACAACTGATCTGTATTGCACACAGGGTGGGAGTGTCATCCACTTCAATGACAGGACATTTATTACTAACTGAAATTTCTTCTCAATCATCACTCTACCAGCAATATCACTGCATATCAATTATGAAGGATGTTGAGTACCTGGATGAAGGGGAAGAGCAGTCCCACAGCGAAGTTGGAGAGCCAGTTCACTGTCCCAGCTATCATGAATGCGGCTGGCCTCTGTGACTGCTGGAAAAACTCTCCAGTGAGGACAAAGGGAATCCCACCTGAAACAGGGTCCAACAAAACAGTGGTTTTAGTGACGTCCCCCACCCATCAGCAGAGATGAACAAGCCTCATGACACACATCTCCATGACTAGCTCTGCTCTGCAGCTCTCTGCAGGGCCTTCTGAAACAGATTTGTTAAAACCATATTTTAGAGAAGTGATACTTCTTTCTTTCATGCCATCACATCTCCTGTTTTGCATTCTTTTCAGGAGTTATATGCAGGAAACAGAGCAGCAAATCCACAAACCAGTTTCCAGAGCATCACATGGTGAGCTGTTATTAAAATGGTTGTTTCTACTAAAATGCTTGAAATTCTGAAAATACAGGGATAGTCCAAAATACTTTCCAATCTTAACAGTTGGAAAGATGGCTCCGAAGAAACTAACTCCTGTTTTTTTATTTCAGCCATAAAAAAGAGAAAACTTTTGCCTCCTTATGAGTACACTTGTAAATGATGCTTATTTCATGCATTCCCTTACTAGATACTGCTGGCATTTCTGGCGAGGTCTATTTCTCCCATCAGCCAAGGACTCTGACCTCCATAATAACAATTGCAGTTGAATACCACATTTGTGACTCATGTTTCCTTCCACTTAGGCAGAAGACTGTTTTGTACAGCACTGGCATATTACTGGCCTGACAGTAACCCCCAGGGAGTAGCTGTCTAGTAGCTGAAAGTCTCAATTTATGATCTTTAACTTCCTTCATTCCCATCGGATATTTCAATAGAAATATTTCTATTTTTAGAGAATAAAACCTCTATTTTACTTGCTGACTGGATACATAATTCAGTTAATGTTACACACATCTATGTGCAGCATTATTTCATTACAGTTTGAAGAACTGTACAACTAGTAACATCAGTCTTCTGCTCCTACCACTTTCTGCCTCTAGGTCCTCCAGTGTGCTGGTATTACCTGTCTCACTGTTCAGCTTTGTAGGCAAGACCCATATACACTGTGTAAGACTGTGTAAGTCCTTCCTCTGTTTTAAGCATTTTAACAAGAGAGTGTAAACAGCCAAAACCATATTCATAGATACATTTACTTTCAAAATACATAGCAATACTATAGCAATGCTGACCTCCAAAAGATTTATAAATTAATAAGAAAATACCACTATAGACTTATCCATCTGCTGGGTCTTCTCCTTACATATCTTTCCTTGGTCTCTGGGCTAATCTTTTGCAACACCTTTATCCTTGGGCATTTGTGAATACATCTCTAAGTGCATTATAGGGATGCATTTTTATGTAGCCCCTTGTGCTCAATGGCCCTGAGCATGAACACATGCACCAGAAGCTCCTGCAAGCAGGGATACAGGGACTTGCAAACACTGTAACATGGCATGCAGATGACACGTGTTGTCAGGCATTCTTCCAGAGGCAGAAGCCATGAATATGTGCATAATGGAAAGGCAATGTGATGCAGCAAACAGCTACTCTCCATCGTGAGCCAGAGGGACTTTGTGAGAATGTATCTCAAGTGGTAGCAAAGCCTTCAACTGAACTTTCTGTGCCAAAGAGTGCCATTATAAATTAAACTAAAAAAAGTAGAGAATAAATAAATTTATTTACTCCTACTTTATACATAGGAAAATGAGAAATTGAGAGTTTAAGCCATCCAAAGCGCAGTTTTGTATCTTTCTACAAGACATATGTAGTATCAGAATACTGTGACTAAAACAATGTAACCTCTCCTACCAACAGTTTGAACATGTAGAATGAGTATTTGAACCCCCATAACCTAACAAAATTCAAGAAACATGGGGTCTATCAATGCTTGATGGCTTCCAGTGGCCATTCTATCATACCCTTGTGATTTGGGTTCAAATGGCAGCAAACACATCTCTTCTGTGGCTTAGGTCTTTAATGTCATATGAGGCAGCAGTTTGCCAGGACACTTGCCCCTTGGAGAGAGGAACTGAAGGACTGGAAACACAGAAATCATGTAAGATGACTTATTTATGATCATTCATTCTGTCATGCCTTTGCTGTAGGACAATCTACAGAGGTGTTGCTGTTCTTGTCAGTATAATAAAATATGCTGTTGGAAAGAGCACTTGGAAAAATACATATTGTATAAGAGAGAAAAAAGCCAGAGGCAAAAAAAAAAAAAGTACAAAAGGACAGAAACCTATCAGAAAGCATAAGTGTAATGGAAATAAAAATACATGGGCACTATCCTGGTACAGGTTCCTTGAAATCCCAATTTGATTTCTAAGAACATATCAACTATCATTAACTTTCAAAAAATTCTATGGAGGAATGGGAAGGGTGGCACACACAGACCTCACAGGTTTCTCATGGTCTAGAGGAGAATATCCACAGCATCACAAAACAGAGAGTCAGCTTCTGTAGAGGGATTACTTAAAAGAGTCATAAGGAGAAACCAAGGAGCCTGAGAAGTGGTACATGAGTTATGTGAAAGTCAGGTCAGGTCTGAGAACACAAGAAATGGAATGAAGCCAGGTCACTGCTGTCTACTGCTGTATGACTGGAGGAGCATGGACTTGATTTTATGAGGATGAAGAGGAGGACATATGAATGCCTTCCAAGGGCCACACCAATGTGAAAAACAACTGCAACTGAGAGAAGTGAAAAAGAAATTCGGGAAACCTGAAGGAAAACTGTAAAACCTTCAAGTTACAGCCAGTGAATGCACCTGAGATATAGCCCCAGGATTCCATCCTCAGCAATTTCAAGGTGTCAGAGATGTGCTCAAGGACTCCCTTTCTCCTGGAACTCACTGTTCTTTGAGATACAAATCTGAGTGCCTGGGGCTGAAGGAAGCTCTATTATGCTTTGACTACCTCAGTTGGATCTGAGCAGAGATCACAATGCTTTTACCAACCACTTCTCAGCCAGTCTCTGCAAGGTACCCTACGTAATCACTAGGCCAGATGGGTCTGTACCTTCCTGTGTTCAAACATGGAAGCTTGGAAACCACTGTCAAAAGCAATCCAACCAAACCACTGTATTTTTAGACTATATTTTTTGAAAAGTCTTTAAATACTTTGTCATGAGTATTGCAAATGTATTTGAATGTGAGTGAAATAATTCACCAAAAAGCCACCTGATGATCTTTCTCATGGAGGATGAACTTGGCATTGTCTTTTCCCCTGGGAGGCTTTCCATACAATTTTCAGTGAACCAGCTTTATTTTAGCTCTGATCATAAAACAAAAAAAAGTAAATTGGGATTTCCCATAGGAGTTTTTCAACAAGGTAGCTTCCAAACATGAGTTTAAATAGGTAATGCATTGACCATATAATTACAATGATTAATTTTTAATACTTTGTTCTTTCCAGCATTACAGGGAACATAATAGAAAAACTCTTAACATACTGCAGTGCTAGTAAAGAAAGATTATTATACCTGTTAGGATTCTATATCCATTGGGAACTACAAATGTCTTACTGCAGGACTTGTGTATCAATAAGCTGTTTAGTAGAACTAGATTAAACCCACTTGACACAGTTAGACATGCACAGATACCTCTGTTTCTATGTTCTTTATTAATTTATCTCTGTAATTAGTCCAGTTGCACATAGAATCAATGTCATGTGCTGGTAAAAATCCAGACTCTCAATCTAGTACTCTTTCATGCATGAAATTGGAATGTTAGAAGAGAAAAAATATTCTTGGTATCCTTGCTATAGGTTTTCAAATATACATTTAAATTTACAGAAGTATCAATGTGCTTTCTTAGGAAAAATTAGGTGCACATGCTTACTGTTTTGTTCAGTAAGCAGTTACAAATAAATATTAGCAGAATAAATAGCAGAAGTTTCATGAGTCAGTGCAAAAACCTGAATACAGAAAACATGAAAAAGGAAGGAAAATGCTGAACTCCTAATTCTGTTTTTATCCAGTACCTAACTGGGAATTTATGTTATAGCCATAGCTGTGTGATTTATGAAATGAGACTGTTACAAGAATCAATGCCTAATACAAATCAGGGAGATTTATTACAGTGGTAAATCACTTCTAAAGGTGACAGAAATTTTGTGCCCTAAGAACCACAAAAGAGAATGTACCCTTCCCAGAGCTAGCAGCTCACCTTTCAGTACTCATCAAACCCCTGTGGGTTCAGGCAGCAGCCCCATGGCAGCCAGAGCGTTTCCAGCCCCACCAGAAGGACCACCAGTGGCCACCCAGCCCCATGACCTCCTGCAGATCTCAGCTCTCCAAGTTCTGCCCATACAGGGGGAAGTCTGGGAATCCTGCAAGGCTGACTGGGCAAGAGCTCCCAGACTTTCCAGCTCCATGCTTTGAGACAAGGAGTCTTCAAAGGGAGGTGTTTTGAGAAAACAGACAACTACCTTGCAACAATGTTCTGTTTTGAGGGGAAAGTCTGTGGAGCTCCAGACATGGTCAAGAAAAATGGCTTTGTCTGCAAGGCCAGGCATGTAGGGAAGACTGATATATCCTAATAGGGCTGGGGGACAAAGTACTGTCTCAATGAAAGGTTTTGCTATTTGCAATTCAAGGGCCCTCTAGAGAGCAACTCTGGGAGAGAAGCAGTGGAAGTGAGACTAAACTGGAAGATAACTGCTGGAAAAGCAATCCAATGTTCTTCAGTGAGAGAGCAAAATGCTGTTAGCTTCTATCAAGACTTCAGTTATTAAAAAAGCACAGACAAACAAACAAACAAACAAACAACCTAACCAATGAACAAAACCCCCAAAAATGTGCAACAAAACCCATGGGAAAATGTATTTTAGGGATACTGCGAGGGAGTGATGCAATGCAGCTACTGAGTTTCTTCCATTTCTGTAGGTCTACAGATAGAATAAGAATTTTGCAAAATAGATAGCTCAATCTTTATAGAGATGTTCTGTCACCTGTTAGATTATTTTAACTTGCATTTTGTATTTGATTGAATAATACCCCACCAAATATGACATTACAGTCAGATATGACAGCTGTACTCCCAGCTAATCCTGCTGAGAGAACTGGGAACAGAAGGAGTGACAGGGGTGTACTGAGTCACAGCC